ATAGATCTATATACTTCTATATACTGTAAATTCACATACTTAGAAGGCAACAATACCTGGACAGCTAAATCGCAGTCAATTGAAACAGGTAGATTGCAGGCGGCACTGGATCGCTTACTTCTAACATCATATACATTAAACACGAATCTGTATTCTTCCAGCGATGCCCTCAGATTTCGGTACCATAGCAACGAAGCCTGTAACATCCCATAAATAGCATGGAGGATCACAACATAGATCACTCGATGTCCATTTTTGATCACTACAAAATCCTGATACGTCGGATCTAGGTCAATCATATAATCAACCAGCAGTCCAGTAATTTTCATTATTACTCAATCTTCTCCTTCTTCCTGCTTGGGCATCAATGTTTGGATAAACGCGTTGGGCATATCCATTGACATGACGTTTCTACCTTCATGGGCACCAATTACATCCGTGCAGAGAATAGCTTCATGCGAAGCTGTGGGACTTGCACTGTCCTCACGAGACAACCAATCCCGGGTCTCGTTACCTTTGAATACACAGCGTCCTTTGATTGCCATGCCATCATTCTTTTCGGCCAGTAGCATCATTGCATCTACGGCCTTCTTTCTTTCTCAATACTGATCGGTGTCCAGCAACTGCGCTTGATCAGTTGGTCAAGTTCTTTCATGGCCGCGTCTTTTCCTCGCTCCTTGAATATCTTCAGTCCTTTATTCAGATAGTATTGCTGAATGAACGAGACTCCGTCTTGCCCATCGATACCACCGTTGACACCCTCACATATTTGTTGAATAACACAAGCGACTACCAACGCTTCGTCAGCGTCATATTTGCCTTTGTTTGTGTTCCTGACTTGTTGGAATGCCAAATTGTGCACGCGTTCTCGGATGGAACGCTTGTGCTTAAGGTTTCCTTGCAATTGTGCTCCATTTCTTCGCGTGTCAATTCGTTTCTTAATCGCTTGATACAGCGAGACTCGGAGTCTTTTCATTCGTGCTTTTCTTCTCATTGCACGCCTGTTTCTCAAAACGTTTGGCACAGGCGGATTCCTTTTTTGCAGGTATGCCTGTCCAAATCTTGATTTCGCTCTTCTGTATCTCTCAGTAGGTCTCATTTTTACCCCTTGTGAGAAGTAGGATCGATTGTGTCTTGGGCGAAGTACCCGTTTCGCTCCAACTTCGACACCGTCGTCACTGTAGCTTCTTACAATTCCTTCGGTGTTGGACTCATCATCATCTGTGTCCGCAAATCTCACTCCTGCTGCATGGAATGCGTGTACTTATGGTTCCTTTGCAACTGTGTCAATTCGTTTCTTGATCGCTGGAACGCTTGTGCTTAAGGTTTCCTTGCAACTGTGCTCCATTTCTTCGCGTGTCAATTTGTTTCTTAATCGCTTGATACAGCGAGACTCGGAGTCTTTTCATTCGTGCTTTTCTTCTCATTGCACGCCTGTTTCTCAAAACGTTTGGCACAGGCGGATTCCTTTTTTGCAGGTATGCCTGTCCAAATCTTGATTTCGCTCTTCTGTATCTCTCAGTGGGTCTCATTTTTACCCCTTGTGAGAAGTAGGATCGATTGTGTCTTGGGCGAAGTACCCTTTTTGCTCCAACCTCGAAACCGTCGTCACTGTAGCTTCTCACAATTCCTTCTGTGTCAAACTTGTTATCATCTGTGTCCGCGAATCTCACTCCTGCACGAGCGACACCGTCTTCCTCTTCTGATTCAACTGCCACATCTTCTTGTGTGTTGTCATCAAATTCGAACAGAACTTCTTCTTCTTCCGGTTTTCCAAGTTCCACTAACTCAGCTGCCAGTTTGTCTAACATATGCTTGGTTTCTTCATCGTCTAGTTCAGACTCGTATTCGTCTTCGTAGTCCATGTCATCATTGGCAGTTATCCATTCGTGTTCTTGGTAGTCTTCATCCATCAGATCTTCAGCATCTTGTTTAGCCTTAATCTTCTTGAACATTCTGTCAAACATTTCGTCCTCTAGCTCATCTTCATATTGATTCGCCTCGCTATCGTATCTTGGGTTCCTGTCCCTGTCGAACCTTGCTTCCATGATGTCTGCTTCAGCATCCATTAGTAATTCATCAAGTTTATCATCTGGAATATTTTCATTTTGGAGGGTTACATCACTGAGTCTTTCGATTTCGTTTACTGGTATGTAGTTTTCATCCCACAGTTCATCATTGGACCTCGGTTTTGAATTTGACGTGTGCCAAGTGGCTCTTACAACATGCTGGTGGGATTTTTAGTGGGTTTTCAGCCAATGAGAGCTAGTCGTATCACTAAAAATCAACCCATTTTTAGTGGTCTGAGCCAGTCACAGCAGTCCATTCACTAAAAATAAAACTATCTCCACTAAATTAGTACTGTCCCAACCCATTGAAATGGTGATTAGGGGGACAGTAACACACGGCCCTAGCAGTATGCCTCTGCCTTTATAAGCACTGTTGCACTTAATCTTAACGACCAACCTTCGCATTGGATAATGAGAATCTGCTATAGCTCCCCTAGGATGACTCCTAAACTACCTAAAATGGTGATGGTCGGGGGAAGGCAACCTAACCCTAACCCTAATTATGCAATGATAAATCAAATAGGGACTTATGGACGCGAATGACCAATTGGTCATTATGACTTTTTCTGAGTTATAACTCAAATCACAACGGAATTCTGAGTTATAACTCACGGCCTTGAGTTATAACTCAAACATGTGAGCTATAACTCAGACGTGTGAGTTATAACTCAAACGTACTCAGGAACCGCCGGGAACGGTGGTCGGAGTGGTCGGCAAAACGTTTGGGGAGAGACTGGAAAAGGAATCTGAGGGTTGCGGAATTTCAAAAAAATTGGACATTCAAAAAAACGGTCCAATTCAACTCTCCAGGAACACCTGGCAAATGTTCAGACTGAGTATTTTTGGGACACTGATCGCAAAGTTTGACGTGCTTGTGCCCAGAGAAATAAATTTATTTTTTAGCTTCGAAAAATCTATGTTAATTCCCTTTAACTATTAACCCTTTTGCGTTTCTTAGTGCCTTTTTGGCACTTCGAACGGTTCGAAGTGCCAAAAATGCTCCCATTTTTTCCTTTTTTTCTCAGAACAAAAAATATTCAAATTCCAACTGTCTATTTATTTTGTTTAGGCAAAAACCCTCCTTTTAACGGCAATACTTGTACGGAACGAAAAAATTATACACCCCTCCTTTTCTCCCTACAAACTGGTGATCCCAAATATCTGCACCCAATTTCCCTTTTTCGCTCCCAGACATCACATTTTTCGCAACCATCAAAACTGTGGATGTTTTCCTTGCACATCACTTGACAATAGAAGACAGCACCTACACAAAAGAACAATATAACGGATATGACACGTGACTGAGGTAATTATATATTGCAATCGCTATTGCTATTGCTATTGCTATTGCTTTTCCTTTGATGTTACTCCTCCGCAAATCCGATTTTCTGGCGCCACAAACCAGAGCTTTTTCTTGTTCTCTCTTCTGTGCTTCCGCAATTTTTCTTGCCCTCCCATACCTCCTGAAAACTCGTTACGAATCGTCCATGCTGTTTAAACTGTGGCAGTCTTCACCGCCCCCTGCCATTACCAAACCATTACCAAACAACAGTGCGGTGCGGTCCATTGTTCATTTCAATCCGGGTTACTAATGTAAAGCATCGGCACGTAGACTTCACGAGGTTTCGTCACGTAGGAAAACGGATTATTGGTGCTTTAGCGCAAAAGCCTACCTCAGCAAAGTCTGTAGAGTCTACGTTGATCCATTCCTCTGTATATATAAAACGAAATCAAACAATCAGCAATGCAGTTAAATAAAAATCGATTTTGCTTGTCCTTCTGACAGAACCATTCGATATTTCCTTAAATAGAAAAATAGATAGGGTTTACCCCCACCAGCACTGTAACAAGTCGCTGATTTTTTTATTGAAGCACAACATCACAATGCACACACATCCAAACGAACCCAATCCCCAATCTTGCTTTCTATTATCTCCATGTCAAAGTAAGCTTGTACCTTCACACCTTGTAGATCTTTCAATTTCTATCTAAATGACAACTTTGACACGTTGTTTTTATCCAAAGCTCGACTGTTTTCGAACCACTGGTCTTTGTTCGACACCCAAGATGAAGTGAGTCGCTACATAGTTTCCAAGAGAGGCCATGACGGGAAGACTGTTGAGGGCACTCCACAGTCATGACTTTGTTCCAAGTGCAACGAAATTGACATCCAGTCACCAGCGCCTTAGTGGTCACAAAATGTGGCAAGAATCTCACTGTTTGTTCCGCCTGTTTCTCAAAATGCACGGCAATAGACTTCCAGTCAATCAACGTCCCGTGCCTTGCTTATTCCCAAGCCTTCAAGGCCTGGAACTGCACCTCCCACGTCCAGATCAAGAACTGCACTATGAAACGATGGTCAAGTTCCAACAGCAGAAGACTACAATCTACCTGAACGCGATCAAAAAGTACCAACCCAGTATAATGCCATTGTGCTACACCTGACAAGAAGGCAAAGATTGGACTTCGCTCACTCTAACTACATACACAAGGACATAGACGGTGCTATGGTTTCTACAGCTATGTTTGGAGAGAACGTAGGGTGCAATGCATGGGACAGAGACAGCCTCCATATTATGGATACTGTCAGTACTCTTTATCATACTTCGCTTCAGATTACTGTGATGACAGATGGAGACACAGATAGCACCAATCAACCTCATCTCTTCAAGAGTTGTCCACAGAAGAAATACAAGTGACAATAGAAGATTGCCGACGCATCCAAACAAATCAAGAGTTTGACGAATGGCTCAACAAGAATTGACGACGCTGGAGGAAACAACTCAAGGTATAGCCAAGGGGCCAAAGCCCAGCAATCAAATTCAGAGCAAGGCAACAATTCACCAGTAAGAAAAGGCAAAATAACAATTTGCCAGCAAGTGCTTGCTATCAAATGTTGTCCTCCTCAACAAAATTTCATAGAATCAATCCGTCAAGCTACAAAATCATCGTCAAAAGCAGAAGAGATGCATGGCATACACCTCACAAAACAAGAGAATGTTGAGTGACTATGCTACAAAAAGCCTCATTGATGTAGTTGATACTGCCAGAGCTGTAATCGATGTCCAAATGAGGCCTCAACTGACTCAATCATGATGCAATCAACATCTGATTGTTGAACCATTCCCGTTTGCTTCCCCTTTTCACCTGACATGTCCACTGAGGGTCTCAAATCCAAAGAAGGTTGAGTTGAAAGCTGAATCCAATATTATTTCTAGAAAGGAGCTGGCAATTATATCCCACAGGTGTCCAGAGACCTCACGACTAGTTATAATACATATCTCAAGTATCGTATGGTGACAGAGCGGTATGTCTTTGCTCTGCTAAGCACTTTGTTTCATTTCATAAATATTTGCATGAGCTTTAAAAACAAGGCTAGTCTAAACAAATGCGCTTCTAGTGATTTGACAATATAGTGATGGCAATGTTGGTGTTGGCCTTGATGGCTTATTCTATACCTTAACAAATCAATTGCACAAAGTACTAAATCATTGAAACCATTTTCATTCTGGACCTATACTCCTGTGAGGCCACCAACTACTCATCCCAATGCTTTGACCATTGCTCAATCGCTCCCACTAGTGCATCAGTGAGTTTAGACAATGATTGTAGTGGCCCTGTACTGCAGAAGCAGATGGTAAACATGAAGATCAATAGTAAATGGAAAACAAGCATCAGTTGAAAATTTACAAACCTGTCCATCAATTGCAGTTCCACCCATCAGATATGCCTCAACCATGACTCAATCGCTCCCACTAGTGCATCAATGAGTTTAGACAATGATTGTAGTGGTTCTGTACTGCAGAAGCAGATGGTAAACATGAAGATCAATAGAATGAATTGAGACAATGATTGTAGTGGCCCTGTACTGCAGAAGCAGATGGTAAACATGAAGATCAATGGTAAATGGAAAACAAGCATCAGTTGAAAATTTACAAACCTGTCCATCAATTGCAGTTCCACCCATCAGATATGCCTCAACCATGACTCAATCGCTCCCACTAGTGCATCAATGAGTTTAGACAATGATTGTAGTGGTTCTGTACTGCAGAAGCAGATGGTAAACATGAAGATCAATAGAATGAATTGAGACAATGATTGTAGTGGCCCTGTACTGCAGAAGCAGATGGTAAACATGAAGATCAATGGTAAATGGAAAACAAGCATCAGTTGAAAATTTACAAACCTGTCCATCAATTGCAGTTCCACCCATCAGATATGCCTCAACCATGACTCAATCGCTCCCACTAGTGCATCAATGAGTTTAGACAATGATTGTAGTGGTTCTGTACTGCAGAAGCAGATGGTAAACATGAAGATCAATAGAATGAATTGAGACAATGATTGTAGTGGCCCTGTACTGCAGAAGCAGATGGTAAACATGAAGATCAATGGTAAATGGAAAACAAGCATCAGTTGAAAATTTACAAACCTGTCCATCAATTGCAGTTCCACCCATCAGATATGCCTCAACCATGACTCAATCGCTCCCACTAGTGCATCAATGAGTTTAGACAATGATTGTAGTGGTCCTGTACTGCAGAAGCAGATGGTAAACATGAAGATCAATAGTAAACGGAAAACGAGCATCAGTTGAAAATTTACAAACCTGTCCATCAATTGCAGTTCCACCCATCAGATATGCCTCAACCATGACTCAATCGCTCCCACTAGTGCATCAATGAGTTTAGACAATGATTGTAGTGGCCCTGTACTGCAGAAGCAGATGGTAAACATGAAGATCAATAGTAAATGGAAAACGAGCATCAGTTGAAAGTTTACAAACCTGTCCATCAATTGCAGTTCCACCCATCAGATATGCCTCAACCATGACTCAATCGCTCCCACTACTGCATCAATGAATTGAGACAATGATTGTAGTGGCCCTGTACTGCAGAAGCAGATGGTAACAAATAGAGAATGACAAGCATCTTCTGACGCATCAGTTGAAAATTTACGAATCTGCCCATCAATCCATGTGTTTCCTATGCTTCGGTTGA